TGTACTAAGGCTTCCAGACTGTAAACTGGGGCACCTATTTCGCTGGTTTATACCTTGATGGAGAGCTTCGCCATGATACCCCCACCACCCCAGTTTGGAAGAACACTAGTTAAGATTTCAGAGCTCTCTACTCCCATAAATAAAATTAATACAGTGCGTGTTTGGTGGCATGGCGGAGATGCTTAATATAAATTATTCGCTATACAACCTGTTTTGGACGGCAAGGAGTATAAAATAAACGTTGATTTCAGCATTTCAATCTGATTTTAGTGCCTTTGAGCATGTGCAGAGCGCTTGCCGACTAAACCCTGCCATCTCATTTGCAGACTGGGGGCAAAGACAGCGAGTATCATTTCCAGGCAGGTTTGAACCCCCGCCTTAAGAAACAGAAGCTGCAGTTCTGAGCATATTTATCTGGAAAATAAATCCCAGGATTGCTGGGATCCGAAAGATTTCCTTCGGAATAAATATGATTAGGATTGCCCTGTAACGATCACGCTTGCACAGAGGATTCTGGTCTTGACTTGCAAGTGCAAGTCTAGCCATGCCTACTCAGAAGTAAGCCCACTGAGTTCAATGACACTTACTCCTAGGTAAGTAGGGTCGTAACCTATATTTTTTAGGGCGGGATAGGGGGCGGGTTGAGCGAAAATATAAGGAAATTGCCCTCCTCTTCCTTGTCGCTTTCCATAGTTTTTTTTTGGGGGGGGGCATTTATAGTGAAATTGAAGGGCTGCGCTTATTGGGGCTTTCTTCGAATTTCAATAAATAAGTACCTACTTGCTTCCCTTCCCCCCACGTTGCTTGCAGGCCAGGTGTGCGAGGTAACCTGTCTTATCAAGGATTTAATATTTACATTTTATTATCTTGTGCCCTCTGTCATACCTGAACTATTTGGGGAATTCTGCCGACGACGACGCCCGCCTCCCCCCCCGAAAGAAAATGAAAGAGAGAGAGAGAGAGAGAGAGAGAGAATGTATGTTCAGAGACGTGTACATTATAGGAGTCCAGACAAAACAAACGCGCTTGACAGACACGGTGGCCTTTTCCTCAACCGCGTTCCCTCTTCACACGCCCGCCTTGCCACTTTTCCCCCGCAGCGCGTCCCTTTATGGGTCTACTCAGAAGCAAGCCCCATTGATCTCAGTGGCTATAGGATTGCAGCCTTAATCGATCTTATTTTCTAAAAGGAGAGATTCTCCCTCCTTCCCCCTGCCACCCAGTTTCCTGTATATTAATTAAATATCGTTCTTTAAGGAATGGAATAAACGAATGTTCTTTGGAATTCTTTCCGGAGGGGGGAGGGAATGTTCGTAAGCGATTTTTTAAGTAGAGTATTTTGGATTTTGGGTCGAAGTCGTATGTGCAATCTCGCACATATTGCTGATCATTTAGGCTGCAATCATATGCTTACTAACCCGGGAGCAATTCCTATTGAATTCAATGGATTTACTTCTGAGTAGACATGTAAAGGATTGCACTGCTAGTAAAGGGAGCCGCTTCTTTCAAATTACTTTATCCGTGCCTCTAAAACACACACACAATGTATAAAAAGCCCTCGAAATTCTGTCTCCACTTTCGGACCTGCTATAAAAGGAGCCTTTGTAAGCTGATCCTCATAAACACGGTTACTTGCAAGGAATGGTCTGTTGTTTTCAATGAAAATTGAACGTGCAAGTCAAGTGTGCTTCAGTCTGCCACTGTCCTACACACATATACAGAGCTGTAGAAGCAGTGATTCATTATACACCTGAGTACTGAAATACTCTCAAGAAACTGCCTTAACTCCCTTCTGTTTCCTCTGGGAATCTGAGTGACCCTAGTTCTCCGCCCCGCATTTTGACATAAAGGCGAGTGGTGAGTACAAACACAGACACGAGCTTTTTAGGAGATGCCAGTTTTGTCCTTTCCTGAGGATTTTAAAAAAGCAAGGTGGCTGAAGGAGACTAAAGCGGCTTTTTTTTTTAAGTGTGTGCAAGGGAAATTGCGTTTTTGTACACCAGCAGAAGCTCTTCCTGTATTCCCTACACAGACTTTTGCTAGGGTATCAGCTTGTTCGGCTTTATGACCGCATAAAAAAAGAGATCGATCGAGTGCATCAACCTTCTTCTGTCTTTAGATCACCCTAACGAAATGAACATCCATTCCCTTATATTGTCCTGTGTTTCAGACAGCAGCCGGGCTTAATATTTTAATACGATGTGCCTAGATGCTCTGCAAAAACCGTCTTCGCCAATGCTCACGCCTGCCTATATCTGACACAAGGCATCACTCATGAGATCCAAATCTAATTTAATTTTTAAAATGTCCTAAAGGTTATTCCCAGAAGCAGAACACCGAGAAACCAGGAAACCATCCATGTATGTGTAAACCAACTGCCTTTGGTTTAGACCTTGTACACACTTTTTAACATTTTAAGAAACGTCATCTGAGCTACAAACAGGCAGGTGGATTTGCGGACAGAGGGCCTTTTTATGCGCAAACTGCGGGCAAGTGGTGAAGCTAACCCCGGACTGCACCACTTGGGCGGTGGGGAGGTTTGCACGCTCGGTTTGCGCTCTCTCCCTCTTACACACACCCTTTTCTTGTACTCCCGAAGACGGTGCTGTTTTTCGATGTGCAAGGAAATTTGCCGTTGGGACGACGGTCGTGCGGGTCCATTCCCCTTCCTCCCCATCCCCACGGCTGCCTAAAGTGTCCCAGTCCGCGAAACCTTATGCCGCTTTATTCTACCGAGTGCACCAACTGCTCCAGCGGAGCCTCTGCCGGGAGCACGTGCGTGTGTGGGGCTTCTGTGTGGGGTTGCCTGCGGGGCGACTTGACACAAGACTCGGCTCTGCAGCTTGCTAGTCGGTGGCGCTCCGGCAATACCTCCGGGGATGGGGGTGGCGGAGGGCTATTAAAATTCCAGGAACGCCCCCAGCCTCTAGTAAGAACTTGCAGCGCTCGCCAAGGCCTCGATTCCCTCTGCGCTCGTGTGAATGCGGGCGAAGAGCGCTACCCGCCCCACTTCGAAGCCTTCTCTCGGGTTCGCTCCTGCGGCGCTCGGCTCGGGGGCGCACTTTTCGCCCGGCTGAAGCCCGCGAACGACCGCGGTGGCTTCGCCGCCGCCGCCTCCTTCCTCCTTCCCGACTCCCTGGAGTCTGTAATTACCGCCGATCGGGCTGATGTGCCGCAACACGCCCGCGCGCCTAACTCTCCTCTCTCTCTCTCTCCCTCCAAGTCTCTCTCTCCCTTAGTCCCTTCACATTTGGCCGCAAAAAGCCCCAAATCCGAGCTCTTAAAGGGGCAGGGCGCAGCGTCGCTAGCCTTCCCCAGTTACCTTTCCCAGACTTTTTATCAGAAACATTAACACCAACTGGGCGAGCGCTCTGCGCTTTGATGGAGGAAGCGAGCGTCTGACAGCCATTCATTTAAGAGTCTTGATGGTTTCTCCATTCCGAGGGCAATCCTTTTCCCCCACCAAACCCTAATCTTTGCCTAACCTTTCGCCACCACCCTCAATCAGATTTCCTTCATGGCTCTCGTTTCTCTTTGCTTCCAGGAATCATTGGGAATGGTTGCGGGACGGGGGCGGGGTGAAGTGGAGAGAGGAAAAAGAGGCTTTGCCTTCCGGACACCCGCGCAAACCCCAGTCAATTTCGCCTCCCTTCCCGAAGTCAATTCAATTCAATTCAAAATCCTTTATTAGGCATATCGCCTTCCCGAAGTCTTTAGGCTGGTCCATTTCAAACGCCGCCGCCTACAGTATCTGTGCAGCCTGGCGCGGCTCCCCCGGACAGAAAGAGAGAAAAGGGGATCCTTTTCCAGGAGTTGAGGACTCCCCAGACTGAACCAGCGAGTCGCACAAGCCTCTCAGCCGTTTCCTTGGAGGAAGAGCCGGATCCGAAAGGCGCCTCGACCCAGGCGTAAAAAGAGAGATCGAATAGCCTAAGAACCCAAGTAGGACCATCTCTGATATACCGAAGGAGAGAGGACGCCGGGCAGTTAGGGATCTAGATACAGAGTCCATATCTCTGCACTGAGTGCTTAAAGAACCTTCACTGTCTCAAATAGGAATAGAGGATTTTTTTGGGGGGGGTGTCGATGATGCCCTGTCCCCACTGAATCTGCCTGCAGCTACTATAGACACCAAGGGAAATATGTGTATATTTTAGCGATAGGTATCTACAGACACACACCTCTCAGTTCTACGGAAAGAGCGAGCATTGACGCAGGTCCTGGCACCCACATGTTGACAGAATTTCATCCAGGCACAATATTTAGGAATTTCGTTCCAAGTTTCAAGATCCCACGATTGTTGGTTGTTGTTTTTGTTGTTATTTAAGAAGCGGGCGGGGAGGCTCACGCCTTACCAAGGCAAGTCCATCTCGGTCGCCACGAAAAAAAAATATTTTTTGCGCGCTTGTACAATATTTTGCTCGTGCTTTTAAAACGAACACGTACACATTATTTTGCACGTCAATCTATACATATATATATTCCTCTTGTCGGAGAGCGTTTGCTTTCCTCCTCCTCTCCTTCCACATGACTAGCTTAAAATCACCTTGAAAAACTCGTGTCGACTTGTATCATTATCTGTTTAATTCACTCAGTACCTTTTGTTCTTGGCAGGAGAGGATCAAAGCAAGTTTTTTTTTTTAAAAAAAACAACAACACACAACCCAGCAACTCTGATCTCTCTCTCTCTCTCTCACCCCCTCCCCACCTTTTCAGGTTTTTGGTTTTTTTTTAAACTTTACAGTAGGAGAACGGTAGATCAGGGCTAACACAGTCAAAATAAACATACAGCTTAAATAAATAAAAAGACTTTCGACAGGGGCTGGGGAGCGCGTTCTTAAAAAAAACCTTTTTAGGAACCACAATCTCTTTTCCCTCCACATTCAACATATTCGGGAACAGGAGGGATCCAACACATCTTTGAAAAGCGAGCGCTAGAGGGAGAAAAAGGGGTTCACCCTACCCCCCCAAATAATCAATCAATAAGAAAGTCAACTTACCACCAGATGGGATAGCTTGAGAGACCTTGGGTCAACCCACAAAGAAACAGGAAATATCCCAAAAGGGCCATCTCGCCCCCCAAAAGTTGGCAAAAAAAGCCTTTTAATATCTGCCCCCTCTAAAACCAGCAAAACGTCCAACTTTCTCTTCTTGGGTGCAGGGGAGGGGGGCGGAGAAAATACCCCCACCCCCCAGAAAAAATTAAAAACCAACCCAGCCCTAGCAGGTAGCTAGTTCTCTCTGTATATATCTATCTATGGGTGTATATAGGTATATATAAATATCTATATAGAAATTATCTTCTTTCTCGTCTTCTCTCTCAAAGAAGACGAAAACAATAAATAAGAAAAAAATAAATATCGGAGAGGTGGGTTTTTTAAGGGGGGGGAAATCCCTCTTCTCGCAGCCAAGAGACACTAAAGGCAAACATTTAGCAGGGGAGAGAGGAGGGAGAAGAAGAAAAAAGTTTGGAGCAGGCTTGCTTGAGCGAGAGACCCAATCAGCACTTATCGCCAAAGGGGAAATTGCCGGGGCTTCTCCAGCTCCTTCTGCGCTGTGCGTCAATCCAGCAAGCCAGGCGAAGGAATGAGCTAATTGCGAAGAGATAGTGTTTTAATACTCATTAAGGACATGTTGGCCCACCAGCCCCCGGAGGGGTGGGGAGGATGGGAAGTAGAGAGGGGGGTTGGTTTAAGAAAAGGGGGGGGGCGGAGAAGAAGAAAAGGGGAAAGGAAGATTTAGGGGGTTTAAATAGACAGGGGGGACCCCTGTGGCTCAGGGTAGCTATAACAACCTGTCCGGACTTCACTCCCTGGGTAGAAGGAGCCACTAAAATGCTTTAAAAGAAGAAGGGGGGGGGGAGGAAATCCACCTATAAAATATGGGGGTCGTTATAAAGACCCGAGTCGTCGATCTTTTCCTTGCATGTGGGAGCGGGTGTGCATATCACTCCCCTGAAATAAATAAAATAACTAAATAAATATTTATTTATTATATGTGTTTTATCGCTCCCACGCACCAGCATCAGGTTCCTGCTCAATGTTAAGAGTCGCTTTCCCGCTCTATTAATAATCATTTTCAAAGGACTTTCCCTCCTCCTCCGCCGCCGCCCCCACCCCCGGCAAGCCAACCCTCTTGTTTTACATTTGAAACAAAATCGGAGGAATTCAGGAACTTTCAGCCAAGGGACATCCATTGAGGAACCGGTGTGATCTGGGGGGGGGGTCGATCTTTCTTTCTCTCCCCCCCCCATCCACGCCTGCTCGCCCCCCACGGCGGAACGTTCCAGTAGTCATCGTTCAAACGATCTCTGCTTTTACCCGACTAAATCATCGCTAGGTTGGCGTTTGGATGCAATGATTTTTTATTTTATTATGTGTGAGCGGAAGGAAATGCTCGCGCCCAACAGCGTTATTCCCAAGCAGCCGGCTTAAGTGTGTATGTGAGAGAGCCGCACGACCTCGTTGAGGCGGAGTACACGGGTCCCCGAAACGCAACTCTTTGCTTTCAAAGCCTCCTTTTCGGGTTTACTTCCAAGGCAGAACTTGGAGGCGACCCTCTGCCCTCTTACTCCGGAGTAAGCCCCTTTAAAAACACCAGGGAGTTACTTTGGAGCTGCGCGCGTGGTTAGGGTCGGGACGGTTTAAGCGGAGCAGGACCGAATCCGTTGCGCTCCGAATTCACCGGGCAGTGAAGTTGTTGCGGCAGATTGCTTCAGTGTCGAGGGATGGAGAGTCAGTTTCCTTGTGGCACCCGGGGCGGGGGAGGGACACTTCTCATCCACAACACATTCAAGTTGAGGAATCTGGATTTAAACCGGTTTCATCCGGATGAATCCTCAGGAGCCCACATTCCAGACCGAGAGAGACACATTTACCTGGGATTTCCACCACACTTCATTTCCATATCCTCTAGTTCGGCGGGGCGCTTAAATCGCTGCCTAGCTGAACTCTGAACAGATCACCGCACATAAGACTCGGGATCGCCCTTGCAGCGTTAAGGGAGGTGGAGTGGAATCTCACTCCGTGATCCAGAACTCAATTAAGCCGGGCGCGGGCTAAATTGAGATAGTTCCTCGGAGGTAAGTCCTCACTGTGAGTTCAGCTGCATTTCCTCCCAGCTCCAGTAAACATGGGGAGTAGGATCGCAGCCTTCCTTCGTCTTAGCTTTTTGAGGCTGCATTCTTACGATTACTCGAAAGTAAGCCCCATTGAGTTCAAATGGGCTACCTTCTGAGGAGGCACTCTTAGAGAATTTGCTTTACACGTGTTCTATTAAACGTCTGGAACGAACGCCAATAAGGCCAACTGAGAGACAGAGAGAGGGAGGGGGATCGTTTCACAGTACAGATTCAGAGGATCGAGTGCATGTAGCCTTAGCCGTTTGGGAGAATAAAGGGTGGATCTCTTCCGCCTCCCCCACCAGCAGCGATCCTTCCCAAATCTCCTCGGTTCCTGCAAGCACCAGTGTCCATTACCCCACAGAGGAAGGAAGACCCGCTAGAAAAAGACGTCTATCCACCCAAACAAGCGTGCCAAAACAACACCCAACATCCCTAGTTAAAACCCATCAGATCCTCTGTTTGCTATTTGCTGGGCGTTAGACAAAGAGGTGGAGACGGCGGTGTGTTTTGACAGATTTCGGCCCTAATGGAGACCTTCCTTGCCACTCCCCATCGCCCCAGACTTTTCTTGACCCCTACACAGAAGGTCCCATATAGGTTTGGGGATGGAACTTTTCAGAGCCTGGGTTTCTGTTCGTTTACTTGGAAGTAAACCCCAGTCCATCCGGTGGGATTACTCGCTTACATCCTCCATGCCTTGAAAGACGTACCAGAAATGCCACCTCATCTTAATATTGACATTAAAATTTAATTTTTTAATCATTAAAAAAAAAGATCACACACAAACGAGGCCTGGAAGGAAATTATATTTTAAAAGCCCGCCCTCGTGCGATTATATTTTGCGGGTATTTTAAAACCTTGATGTGTTAAGGAATCCGAGATATTGATATTGATATAGACATGAATGAATGAATATGTGGTGGATGTGAGTCCCTTAGTCCCCAAATCCTTCTTTTTAAAAAAACAATTGTACTCTTTCTTCCGTTTCCCAGCGTCCAGAGATCCCGATCCGCGGCCTATTTAACATTTCAGTCGTATGCATGCTTATCTATAGGAATCCGGACGCGACTGTGCGCTAATTTGTTTGAACTGAATCCACTAAAAGTTCCAATCAGCTTTAGACTCCGAATCTGGACGCATTTGCTTTGAAAAACAACCCTTTAGGCTGCAGTCCTCTACCCGGTTACCCGGGAGTAAGCCACATCGAACACAGTGGATTTACTCCTGAGTAGCCCGCGAATACGGTTGCCCTGTCAGCCTCTTAAACACGCCCACTCGGAAGTAGCTTCTGTTGCAGACCAGTGTGGTTTTACACCCGAGTAGACGCATTTAACTTTGCGATACCTAGCTCACAGCTCAACCCCATGCAGAGAAATCCAGCTGTGGCCCACGGGGCTTACGCCCATACTAGGAAAGTGTGTTTGGGATCACAGCCTAGATCTGTGCTGCGGGCAGACCCTCACCAATCCGGAGTCAATCCGGTTTCACATCGGAAGCTCCGCTGGCGCTTAAATATGGCGGGGGGCTCTTTTTGAATGGCGTGGGATTGGCCAGCTGCGTAGTCTGGTGTGTCTCAGCGATTGCGACCCCCTTAGTTTTGGACCCACAATTACTCGCATCTTTTCGGATGACGCTCCCAGAACCCCACCCGTGCGTTCTGCTGTATGCGCCTCTGCCAAAGAGGATCTGGTGTTGTGATGGGTTGGCGGTGGGGATGATGGAAAAAGAGCGGCGGGGGTGATGGAGAGAGAGAGAGAGAGAGAGAGAGAGAGAGAGAGAGAGAGGCAGGCAAAACAGCCGCCCTCTCTTCTCTTGGACTTTCCCTCGGCATTAGGTGAAAATCCCAGGCAATTATAGCATTACAGGGAAAGGAGCGAGTGCCTCCGTGTTCAAAGGCAGGGGGATTTTCACAGCCTTTTCAAGGGAAATTGCTTCTATTTCAGACTGAAATGCACACACCCAAACACGCGTCCTTCTAATACACAAGCCGAGCGAAGCAGAAAGACAGGGACGTGGGGAGGAAGGGGAGGTAGACAGCCGGGTGGATGGCGGGGTGTGTCTCCTTCCCTCTTACAATGGGATGCTTCTTCAAACAGACACCAACCCTTGGTGGACTTATCTTCGCCACTCCTTTTTAAAGCTCCTCTGAAAATTAATGTTTTTTTTAAAACCTGGAAATCATAGCTGAAATTCATCACTGACGACAACCGTGCTGTGCAAGACATCAGTTCAGGTGGTTTAAGACTACCACTGCTAAACCTGAGCTGCAGATGCCCCTTTTGAAGAATAATTGAGGCACCCGGTCCCACTGACACAACAGTGGGATTGATTGTGCTAGCTGGGGTTTAGTAAAGGTAAAGGGACCCCTGACCATTAGGTCCAATCATGGCTGACTCTGGGGTTGTGGCGCTCATCTCGCTTTATTGGCTGAGGGAGTCGGCATACAGCTTCCGGGTCACGTGGCCAGCATGACTAAGCCACTTCTGGCGAACCAGAGCAGCGCACGGAAATGCCGTTTACCTTCCCACCAGAGCGGTACCTATTTATCTACTTGCACTTTGACGCGCTTTCGAATTGCTAGGTTGGCAGGAGCAGGGACCGAGCGACGGGAGCTCACCCCGTCGCAGGGATTCGAACCGTCAACCTTCTGATTGGCAAGCCCTAGGCTCTGTTGTTTAACCCACAGTGCCACCCGCGTCCCCAGCTGGGGCTTACATCTGAGCAAATATACATATGGTTGGGTTGGAGCTTTTTTTAAACAAACAAACAAACAAACAAACAACAGCAAAGCCCTATTTACAGAAATAGAAACATTTGATCAACTCACATTTAATGAAACTGGAATCTCCCCAATGGAAAGACATTGGCTTGCTTTGCTTTGACTTGACAAAGTTGAGAGCTATTTCTGCTACAGCTGATGTTGCTGATACACTTTCTCTTCCTGCTTTCAGCTCTCTTCATATCTTGGTCTACAAGTTATACCTTGCTTAGGCTGCCCGATCAGACTTGTGAGTGGGGCTCCTAACCATTTCTTGGCATAAGTGACTCTCATTTTCAATGGCATTTGCTTCCAAGAAGGGGTGTATAAGTTAACAGGCACCATTCCTACTGTTATTGGCATCCGTCTGTCTCAGGAGACAATGGAGGAGTGTGCCTTTTGCGGTGTACTCAAACCGTTGGAAGGCTGCAGTACCTGCTGTGGTAGTGGACTCCAATACAAGAGAGACATGTTTTGTTGCAGCCAGGGCAGATGAAGGCATCTGGTTGTGCTGCCGCCAGTGCACCAAGCATTTCTTCTCTCTGTGTTCCTCCCAGAGGTCCTTCCTCCTCTGGTTGCTGCTATGAAAGCACGACCTGTCTGCCTGTCTCCAGGCATTGCAGTCGTCTGCAAGGGATTCCCAAAGGGCGAAGTTGATGTTGCCAGCTTTCATGTCACATTTGCAGACATCTTTGTAATGCCTGAAGCCAGCTCACTGTAGAGCACATCCTTGGGAACCCTGCCATCTTCCATTCTGTAGACATGGCCAAGTCATTGTAGAGGCACCATTGCTAAAA